TATAGATATTTTGACTACCTGTGTGTTCCATCGACCCATCACTCCATATAGACATTTCTGTTGATTTTACTTTTTAATGGTCTCAAACCTTTTTTTTCTCACATTAAACAAAGTAACACAGTGCTCTTATTAATGGGAAGGTTTTATTCCATTAATAAACTCTTAAATAAGTTAAGAATAAGCTTATTAAGGAGTTGCATCCAGAAACTATGCAGACATGAGAACAATCTGAAACTGTCTTTTTTAACAATTCATATTCCAAAGTTACAGCACTGAAACACACCGTAGAGGTTAGAGGGTATGCATGACAGACAGAATCGTGACAGGAGTGAACAGAGGAAACATAGGATGCAAAGCTTTACATGTACAAATGATTAAGACAGGAAATATTTTGATGTGTTGTTCATATGCGTTTCATTCATACATCCATTTTCTAACTATTGCATCCAAAATAGGGCTGCAGGGGGGCTAGAGCCTATACTGGCAAGCAACACGCTCAAGGCAGTACACCCTGGATGGGACGTCAGTCCATCACAGGGCACACACAGACACGGCAGACACAGGGCACTCGCCAACACCAGGGCTGATTTTCCCAGAAGGGGAGGAAACCAGTCCACCTGGTGAAAATCCACACAAACATTGGGTGAACACACAGACAGCACCTCAGGTCCTGCACTGAACCCCAGCGTTGTGAGGCACGGATACAAACACTGCACCACCGCCTTGTGGTTTTCATATTGCACAAAATAGTTTCTTTATACTCCCTTTTGTCTCTGTTCCTACTGCATTCTAATATGACATAGTGCTCATTGTTTAAAATTCATTATACATTTTGAATTAAATAGGACTATATATACCTTTGTGTAAATCTGTATATAACGATGGTCAATGTCAGTCAATAATAACTCTAGGAATGTAGAGACAAAATTAGTTATACCTACAAACTAGCATCTTCAAAAGATGTTCTTTAGAAGCATCATCTATGCGAGACAGATGTAAATTTAGTGGATTATTACCCATATACTGTGAGTTGTTCGGGTTTGAAAATCACTGAAAAAGAGAAGTCCATGAACTGAAAACTTTCATTCTTAAAAAAAAGAACTTAAAATTATATGAAACAAACATTCAAAATGTGACCTTTAATTAGAAGCTTTTCTGATATTCAGCATCTCTGTTATTTTGAAAACCTAAATGATGATTGTGCATTATATTGATTATTATTCTTCATGATCAATATAATGGCTATTTCGAAGGATGGGGTCTTTCCAAGGACCAACAATGTTTGCAATGAAGAAGAGCCACACACAATATTTTCAGTACACACAATGTTTTGGTAATATAATTAGTCTTATTAGATTTATTTAACAAGCCCAGTATTTTACATAATGTACTAACAGTTTAGAAACCAGTACTTTGCAGAAATTAAAACTGCAACAAGTCAGGTGAATACATTCTCAGGCTTCTGCAGTTTGATGAAAAACAGGGAGAGGTGCTGGAATGAGCTCTGACACAAACAAAGGTGTTCTGAAGAAATGGTCAAAATAAGATATACATGGGGCAGATTAACTTGCTGATGGGAAGGCAGTATTTTCTGCTGAATGCTGTGATTAATTAACACTGTGTCAGTGCTGCAAGGTTGAATAATCAATTAATGTGTTAGACAGGGAGAAACAGCTCTCCATGATCTCCAGCAGTTTCACTTTCATCCGCTCTTCACTTGTGAAGAGTATTTTGCCTTTCACAGGCTTTCTCTTTCATAACAGCTGTGGAGAGCAAACCTCAAGCTTTTGTGTGGTGCATTTAATACATGGTACATCCCACTTCTGTACCTCTACATGTCAGCTACCCTCCTTGTAAGTTCCTGATTTTATTGTACTTACAGTACATCCTATATCTTAAGTTATAAGAAATCTTAATTTAACCATTTTCCATATCTCATATATCTTATACCCATCTTGTAACTCTCATATCTTATTTTGATCATACCTTTCAGAGTAGTTCAGTGGTTCATTTTCCTTAATAAACTGAAGTCTCTCAAAATGGTGAGAGGGGAGAACATGCAGTTGTCATTCAGTCATTTCACAGAAGAAGTCATCAAAAGTGTTACAAAGAAAATCTCCCTTCTTGTTACAGAGCAAGAAAAGAATATGCACTGCTCAAGAAGTACTGTAATTGATCTAATAATTTTATAATGTGTGTGATAAATGAACTGAAAAAGCTCGCTTTGCCAAAACACTAAAACTAATTGGATTTCAGAATGTATAAAAAATAATGATTAATGAAGTTCATAATCTGTAATTTATGATAAGACGCAATCTTTCTAGCCAACAAAACTTGGCATATAGTTAGTAAATAATGACTAACAATCAAATTACAGCCAAAAATGCTAGCTTACTTTTTTAAAGCTTATTTGAGCTAGCTGATTTTTAATTGCTGTTCTCTATTTGGTTTAAGTTAAATCATGAACTCCATCTATCATTAAAAAAGATTTTTTTTTCTGCACTAAAGTACAGTTTCCGATACTAATTTTATAACCAAGAAAACGAAGCTTCAACAATAAAAAAAAATAACACATTTAGACTTCTGTAACTACTGTACATTGAAAGCTCATCTACAGTGTCAATTGCCAGCAGGAGTTTAATAGCCATACATAATATAAAGTTGGTACTGTGGCTGCTTTTAAGAGGAACTGTCCCATGAGAGCCATAAAAAAAGTCTTAGAAGCAGGTTTGAAAACAAAATATATCTGCAGTTGGCTTCCATGTACCCTGAACATGCTCTGCCAGAGAAGCCTTTAATGGCATCATGCGGCAGTATTTTAAATTAGGGAAACAGAAATACAATCTCATCCAAGGCATGAGATTTACTGTACGTTTTCCTGTTATATATCATAAATATGTTATATAGGCAGATGGTACGGAATGGAGACTTAACCCAAACCTCCAGCTCTACAAGCAAGATTGTTACACCACATCAGCTAATAGTCCTGATTGTGCAGTCTGACTACAGTGACCGCCTATGTTTGTATAGATTGGCACATGAAGTAAGTATTTATTAATAACACTGCACTGCAAGTATACAATAATTGCCATCTTCTTCTGTACAAAAAATTAGATTGCAGAGTATATAGTATATTAAATGCCAGTGGAAGGTTGGTGGTCAAACATGCTCGTTTGATATAGGACTATACTACATATTTTATGAAAGTTTATTCCGAACTACTTCTAATCTTTAAAGCTTCCTTCATATGCTAAACCAGAAAACCAAAACAATAAGACCACAGGGTTATATTTATTATGAGCTATGTGCTCATAATGTATGGGAATTAGTCATATAGACTTGTGTGTTGCACTTAATTAGTCAAGAACATCACATACAGTACGGTATGAATGCACACATCACAAAATGCAGATGAGTTAAGGAGAGGTGGTCTTGCATTAAAGCTTTTTAAAAACAAACATTTGCAAGAGTCCAATCATTTCAAGGCATGGAGAGGTAAAAGTAAAGTCCATACCAGAGCTCCTCATGAGGCATATAATTTGGAAGTCATTATAGTCATGTTTTGGACAGTCTGGTGTCACAGAAGTCAGTTTTTACTCACCTCATTGACTAACAGAACAGTTACTGTAGTTGGATTAAAGGCATATTCTTATCAAACAATGAAGATACAAAAACTATGGTAAAAAGTATTAATATGGAGAATGCTATACGTACATCCTATGCAATACATCACAAAAGGAAAATGAGAAACTGATTGTTTGAAAAGCATATCATATATTTCAACCAAACATGAAACAATACATTATGCTAATTACTTTATACAGTAACTGTGTTTCTCTGTGTTTTTGCTAAGGTACACAAACTTAACATTCCTTTCTTTCTCAAGTATACTGCATGTCCTGACCTAAATTAAATTGCTGCATAGTAATCTTAATTTTACTGTGTCAAAAAAACAAAGTCACCTTCATTCTTACTAAACTGTAAGGAACGTGCCTGTTGCTAGTTCATACATACTTTTAGAAATGAGATGTCAGGAAAAAAAAATGTTGAATACATTTTCACTGGTAATGTGTTCTGCTGCTGCACTGCAAATGAAAATCTAAAATGTATGTTGTGGAATATTAGAGAAAAAAGCATATATCCTACCGATCAGCGCTCACAGACAACATGTAATTTAAAACTGAGAAAGGAAAGCAAAATTACAAGGACTCATAAATGAAAAGAATATGCAGAGATATAAAGAAAATCATAAGAACACAACTAATAAAGTCTAGCATTCTAAGTTGAGTTGAGTCAACCATATCTAATACACATATTTATATTTTATTTAAGAATTAAGGTTATATTAGGTATATAACCTGTAAACTGATAGTAAAAAGCAAAAAGTATATTTTCTTTTTTTAAGGTGCCAATACAATGTCATCTCCACTCGGGGGCTATATATAATAATATATGATATATGATAATAATAAATATATAATAAAAAAAAGAAAACTAAGCAGAAATGTACTACAAACTTTTTTGTCTGGAGTTGTGGTTCCTCGATTGTGACATCCAGAAGCCGAAAACACAACCACAGTTTCAACACAATTAACAACAATTTTATAAAGGTAATCCTGGATTCACCCTCCCTTTATAAGGAAAAGAAGAGCTGAATTCGCTGTAAGAGTGTTTTTAATCACCGCGAAACTGGGGACTAAAACCATCTTTAAATAGAGTTTAAAAAAGAAAGCCACAGGTTAACACCTGCTGCATCACTGATATTAAAGCATTGGATAAAAAAGTGACTCCATGGGGGGGAAGGAAGTCTTAATGGCTATTTACATCTAAGTAAAACCTTCTTTCCGCACTGGTAGTGGAAGGATTTCTCAGATGAACACAGGAACCATTGTTTCCCTTGTGCTGTAGGAACCACTTTCCACAATTGAACTGTGCTGCCTTTCAAATGGAAATGAGCAATAACAACAACAAATAAAAGATGTGAAATTAAAATGACTTACTGAATGGGATGTCTGAGCATGGCTCTTCATCAAGGTAAGCTTGAAGTGCAAAAGAACAAAAAAGAAGGAAAAAAAAACAATAAAAAAAGAAAACAAGCAAAATTCCACATCCTGTCCACACTAAGCAAAATAAATGAAAGTATTTCCAGGGCAAACACTTTGTCAGAATACTTCCTGCAGAATTTGTAGCCTTTTTGTTCAAGAAATTTAAGACAATTTAATTATCATTAATTATAGTAGCATTTCCCTACTTTTGTACAGTGATTTTTCATTGCAAAAGAAACCCAAAGTGCTTTATAAATATACGGGGGTGCACATCATTCATCACGGAATTACGCCCATCAGGGTGATGATGGGCAGTCACTACATTCCTCAGCCAAAGGAGCCCATTTTGTGTTAAAGGTAACTTTGATTTCCTTTATGAAATGGCTGTAGGAGATTCTTGTATCGATATGCTCCTAAATACCAAACTGGCCAGACTGGCCAAATGGTTTCTCTAATCTGTAATCTTCCTTTATAGTCCAGTTGCCCCACTACATCACTGATCAGTTAACCTTTCTGAAGTGTTACGGGCTCTTGAATGACATTAAATGACCTTGGTTTGAATTTTAATCTGAAAGAAGGCAGCTCCTGTGGAATCGTGTCCTCAGCTGTCATTATTGGGATATTGGTTTGGGAGTTCCTGAGGGAAGAGTGCCACCTACTGGTCCACAACCACTTAGCTTAGCAACACAGATTTCCTTGGTGATCACCTATCTCAGTGCCAGTCCTGTTCAGATTCTGAGATCTGAATATATCAAGGTGCTAATGATAGATGAATATTCACAGTAGTTTATTATAAATAGTTTGCTTCACATGGCTGTATCACTTCTGAAAGATATCAATAGATCCATTTTCAGTGAAGGTTTGTTAAAACTATAATTTCACTTGATTTGTAGATAAATTGATTTTATTGTATTTCAACAAAGGCTTTGATGAGGCCCACAAAAAAAGTGAAAAGCAACAGGGACACTATTATAATACAGACACTATTTAACAATTCATTTAGTCATATTAAAAACAATGCTCACACTACAGATGATCTGTTTAACAATGTAAAGTTGTTATTTGCACCGACTTTCATACAGTATTAATAACAACATGTACATTATAATATACCACTGTCCCAAAATGGCTGATATACAGGGAAGGGGTGAAATATACTGTATTGTCAAGGATGGTGAAGGTCATTTTTAGCCTGCTTATGCCACACAAAAAAGGTATACTGTATTTTAGGTAAGTGCTATTTGTTTTCATATTTGATGTTAATTGATCAGAACTCCCTAAATACTGTTTAATTCAAGGATTGTATGGATGGAATGGATTGGAATGTTTAATAAAAATACACATGTACTGCAAAACATAACATTATATTAGCACAACAAAACCGAGTAGTGTTGGGCAGGTTTTTTTTTTAACTGATGGATTTCTCTTATAAATAATGAAAAAACTTTTGTTAGTAAACACCCATGTATTATCAGTATCAAACATTTCCATTTGGTCCTCTGTAATTTCAGTGGGGTCCACTGCAGCACATATTTTCCTGGTGCCTTTTCAGTCAGCACAATTTGGCTATCCCATGCAGTATTGTGAAATTATACATCACTATCCATCACACGGATATCACATCTCCCATGTGAATTAACATCCACATCTTTGTAAACAAAGTGTCTTACTACTAGAAGCATGGATAAGTAATTCAGTCAGACCTGATTTCATGCATATAAATAAATAATAATATATAAAACTGTCACACGTTCAGAAAATTTCATTGGAGAAAGGAAGGCAACATATGCATTTCCGAAATATATTATGTTTAAAAGAAGGAAAAACACCATAAGGCATCGTAGTTCTAGAAATGTTAATGGAAACGCTGTGAAAAACACTGAAGGTTACACAGGAAAAGTACTTTTTTATGAAAAGTAACTGAAACTCAGTTTTACTTATTGTTAAAGTGACTGCATGGTTTCACATACAGTATGCTTTGTTCAGCTGTAAATATGACCTAGTAAAACATGTTCTCAGAAAAAACTTTTTTGTGTCTGTGGCAAAGTTCTACATATAAAAAAGGAAAAAAAAATCAAATCTGAAAGACCCACTGAAAAAAAAAATACCTTTATTTCAGTAACCTTTCCCTTCATTTCACTCATGCGTTAACATTTTCTTTTTAAGGAAATACAATAGTTCTCCTGACAGATTTACTTTTCTATCTCCTCAACATGTACTGTACTGTAAGTGTACAGTACGTAATGCATCTGTTGATCTGCCTTTGTCTAAAGTCATCCAGATCATGCACAGTGTACAACATTTTAAAGGACAAAGTGAAGATTCAAATCCAGGTATGTGGACCGTGAAATGGAGATGGGCTTAAATTAATCGAGTTGTTATTTGCTGGCACCACGCTGTTAAGTTATATGAAGCTGTAATTGAAACCACACGACTTTCATAAAGAGGTTTGTTTAAAAAAATGTCAAGGAAAAAAGAAAGAACTATACTGAGCATCAAAAGAAGCTTATCATTATCACTCTACGCATACTGTATGTGTCTTTTAAGAAAAATAATGTACTGTGTAAAGATTCTAAATAATGATTACATATTTTTGACATTGTTTTGAATGTTTAATGACTGATAGACATCCGAGTGACTTTGATTGCTGCTAAATGACCTCATTAGAGGTGATTGGGAATAGGTGATGAGGTGATTTAACCTACTGAATCACAGACATGGTGAATATCCAGGAAGAAATACAGGAAGAATTGTCCCACTTAACAAGACATCAATGCCTTTGTGCCATCTTTATGCTGGAGGCTGGGCTAAGTCAGCACACTGTTACTGAACGTGTAGGGTGTTCACAGTCAGCAATTTCTAACTGGGCAGGCCACTGTATCCAAACAAAGTAAATCAATGATAGGTCACATTATGGGAGACCATAAGTCTACACAAAAACTTGAATTCTGTTTCATTATTTTGTACAATTGTGCAGTTCCACCTCCTCTGAATACTACATATAAACAGTAATATGTCTGGTTTATAATTAGTATTACTACATATTTAATTAACTCATCTAATATGTCAAAATGAATTATGCATTTTGGCTTTAAGTAGGCACCTGCTGCCATGATTGAAGAGACATATGAACAAAGAGATTAAGTGAGAATGAAGGTAAGAAGGACGTACAATCATGAAAGAACTGAGAAAGCAAGAGAAAATGTTTAGTTGAGACACAACTAAACACAATACAATATTTACACAGCCAAAAAATGAGTCCATGCTTAAATTGGAAATTCTGAATCTAGGGAGCAATGGGAAAATTAATTGATTTTGAATATGAGGTACAAAAACCACATGTGTAAATGGTTTGCACAGTAAATATTTTACTGTTGATTGGAATTTAGTGAAGATATGGTCAATGATGTGAACTGTGTAATATCTACAAATGACTAGGCATTATTTACTTTTTCAAGCTATTTTGATACTCTAACAAACAAAACATCATCTTAAGCAAACTAAAGTTTTAGTTTAACATAAGTACTTTTGTGCAATTTATTCAGATTTAGAATCTTTGATTGTGACTGAACAAAATTTCCCATTTTAAATATTTAAAGGTTCTAATACAATTTTCCGTAAAAAACAGCTCTGCTAATAATTGTTATCTGTGAAATATGGACACAGCTATTTGTTAAACACTAAAGTTTTTAGTGTTTTCCAGCAGGTCAAAATTACGTATAACAGCTTATAGATGAATTCAGCTTTTGCAGTATTTGTGAAGCACAAAAATATTTTGTTATAAATTAATGGTTATCTGTTTTCCATGAAATCTCAAACACTAAAGTTAAACTGATGCAGAATAAAGTTTTTGACAAAATTACAGTATTCTATTTTTTTGGCTTAGTGAGTGGGGCTATTAATCATTAAACATCCTTAAATGATTCATGGTGACCGTAAAACATGTCAGACATTAAGTGAATCTACATTAAGTGGGGAACTGTTTCTGACAAGAAACAATGGAAATAAGGGTTAATTAATGGGGACCTGGAGGGTGTAAATATTATGTGGAGGATGTTAAGGGCTACATATTCCTCCATAAAAATCAACGTATTTCAGGATTAATAGGATACCAGGACATGACAACGTATTGTAACATTCATGTTTTCTGTGTGTAAACTGAATGATTACCATGAGAAAACATTTTAGTAACGATTAAAATTTGAAAATTAACAATGAATGAAATAGAGAGTTTGTGAGTATGGGTGATGAACAACATTTTTAAATATTACAATAATTTACACATAAATGTAAAATTCTAATAATTGTTACGAGTATTGTATTGCATACGTACAGTACACAAGAAGATGAAAGCATCAGCAAAAAAAACTTAACTTTTTTTGTACAGTATAAATTTGTTTAGTATTATAATATAACATACAATTGCATTAAATACTGTATATATTTTAAATAGGGAAATAATGTAACAGTAAGAGTAGTTATTCAGTTATTTTGTTATTTTGGTTCTCAAATCCAGTGCAAGTAATATAATAATACACTAATATATACAGTAGTAATATATCTATAATGATTTTATATAATTCAAAGCTATTTTGCAATGATTTAAGTAGACTCCGTTTACTCTTTCTCTGGAGTTTATTGGATGTGAAGTCGGGGAATCGGTCAAAATGTGTGATTGGCAAAAATGCAATGGTGTAAAAGTGGGGAGATGTTAAACTGGGAGACGTTCATCAGGAACCCTCTATACATATTGGGATGCACATAAATGTGACTGTCATTATTTACATCAAAACTATATAGTATATACAATATATTATATACAGTATATAGAAAGCAGGAACGTCCCTAGTGCTTCCCTGATGAAGAAGACTGGGAACCAATAAGGTTTTAAAGAATGACAAGCATTGTAATGGTTGCTATAACAGAACACTATATTCACTGCAATAATCAGTGTGCATAGAAACTGCTCCAGTTCAATTTTTCACTAGGGTGCT